CCCCCCCGTCTATATATCGTCAAACAGAGCTGCCCACGGTCAACCGTAGGGGCAGAGAGGGAGGGAGAAGGACAAGAGGACAACAAACGAGGGAGGGGCTGTGACAAAAAACTGTTTTTACGTCGGAGTTTCACCGACGCATCAGGAGGCTGAACCTATTGATCTTGGCCGGCCGGAGGTGATATACTCTCCCTCAGAGCAAACCCATCATGACTGCATATTTTTCTTTTTTTTTTCGGGGGTGCTTTTTTTTCTACGAATTGATTTGATTAATAATTTCTTTTGACGATGTTCTTTCCGTGCCCTTCCTCCTTCCTCCATCATCATCATCATCACCATCATCTAACGGTGTTTGTTTTTTTTCCTTCCCCTATTCTGTTTGCCTTGCAGCGAAGCACAGACCCAGTCCGGCTGCTGCAGCCGCTGGATTTTTCCCCATACTAGCCAAGCAAAATGCCTTGAAGAGACAGAGGCAAAATGAAAAGAGGCGAGTCTACCATAAGGCAAGGAGATCTGAAATGTCAACACGCATGAAGAAGGTGAGTGTGCTTTCGACTTTCAACCCTCATAAATGAAAAGAAGCGAGTCTAGCATAAGCCAAGCGCACACATACATATAGCGCCCTCAGACCCTACCTCTCCACACCTCCCCCCTTTTCCCTTCTTCCTTTCCCCAGAATGAGGCCAAAGAAGAACAAAGAACGATGGAGGTAAACGGTGTCCAGTTAGTGTCCAATCCTAAAATAAAATTGTGTTCTCTTCCCCTCCCCCCCCCAAAAAAAGAAAAGAGATCTGAAAAAGAACAGCACCACTGTGTGTGCTGACGTGCGCCCTTACATTTCCCGTACCTGGTCAAGTATCTAGAACTAAACATGTGGTGAGGGCGGTGCAGACTGAGGATGTAAGGGAAAATGATTTCCTTAAATCAGACAAGAAACAAACAAAAACGTAAATCAGACAAGAAACAAGCAAAAAAGCCCGCAGTCCTTCCGGATACCCGTTAAAATGGGAAAGATACACCGAAGATTGGCATGGCCCGTGCACAAGGACGACACACCCATAAATTGAGAAGTCCAAATTTTTGACTTTTACACCCCCTCCCCCTCTCCCCCCTCCCCACACACACACAACACAACACACACACACACACACAACACACGCACACACACACACACACACAACACACGCACACACACACACACACACACACACACACACACACACACACACACACACAATAACACACCACGCATACACACACATCTACTCATCTCGGTGGAATAGGGTCTGTTGTGGTGAAAATTCTAACACCTCTCCTCCCCCCCCCAACACACAGACACACACACACAGAAAAATAGAAACTGGGATTAGGGTGAACTGGAAACCCCCAAGCTTGCCGTTTTGGCGGAAAAGTAAGGAGGGTAGGGCAGTGAAATGGAACAAGGCCCACTTGATAGCTTCTGTTTTTGAACTCCAATTAAGTTTGGAGTAATGTCGTGAACTTGTCGCATAATCTCCGGCCGAGCCATCTCCAGAGTCAGTAAGTAACCTGTCCCTCTTCTCATAGAACCCTCCCTTTCTCTAGGCTGCCATGTATGGCCCTCCTTCTACGGCCTTCGCGCCCAACTTACCGCTCTGTTACACTCATGACTTCCAGCGGTTGCCTGCCTCCTACACGGGAGTTCAGCCCATGATGGAGTCATCCACCGTACGCTGCTAACTTCCAGGTGTTGCCTGCCTATAGGGAAGTACAGGGATGCGTCTACCGTAACCCTGGTAAACTCCCCGGGTTACCCGGCCTTGTGAAAGTTCAGCTCATATGATTGATTCATCCACCGTAGCAGAGTTATAAATGCATGGTTCCAGAAGCTCAATCGTTTGTGGCACCAGGTTGACTGCCTTTTCTGCAGATCAGACGAAGCTTGCCCGTGCTGCTCTCAGAAAGAATGGACACAGCCCACACTGTCAGGGGTGCCTGCTTCCCCCAGCTGTGAGAAAAGTGAGCTTGAACCCTCAGTTGAGGGCAATGGGAGGTGGCGAAAGTCTTTAATCCTTTTCGGAAGAAGTAGCGCATGCCATTGTTCCCTCTTTGGCAATGCCAGGAGGCGTTACAGTCCCAGGTCACTCTCCATCTTGAGAAGAGATATTGAACACACGAGGGAAATGCGCTGATGAAAGCCTTGAAACACTTTTCAGGAAAGTTGATGTCTGCCATTCATTGCTCCCAGCCCGCACATCTTCGAGTGATCACATTGGTGGATCATTGTGCCCCCTCTAGCAGAGTACTGGGAGTTGTGGGCTGCTTCTTTGGGGCGCTTTTTTTTTTTTTTGGG